TTCTCCTCCTGTTTACTCTGCCTCCTTTTCTCTCAGTGTTGTGGGTCCATGTTGACAGTATTGTTCAGCATCCGTTGCTAGACAGTTTTCATCAATCAACTCTTTGCATTCCTGCTGCACCTAAGAAAACGACAAAAGTGAATGACATTATAGAGAGATGGAACATAAAGAGCAGACTGGGGAATTCCTTTAGGTTAACAATGGTTTTAGTTGGCCCCAGGCTAATGAAATGCCACTCCTGACCAACAAAGACCTACAGACGTCTGTGCCAAACCATTACACTGTCAAAGGTAATTACATGTAAAAGCTCTTCCCTGAGTGCTGTTTCCTTGGCATTTGTGGGGAAGCTTGCGTGTTTCAGTGACTCTGAAAGCTATACCGGTAGTGTTTTGGCCCCAGGCAGGTTCAACCATGCCAGGCAGGTTCCAGGTGAGAGGCCAGAATAAACACAGCACCTGGCCCTCCAGGTTGGGGGTTGGGTGTGAGGCTAACAACCCCACCCCTTAAAAACACACATTGTTACAGAAACTGCAACAACTTTGAAAACTACAACAACAAGTGACCCAAAAGGAAACTCCAGCCAATCCAATCCACTATGACGGCTTCAGAATTACCTGGCGCTGACGAAGATGGCGGCCTCGCGACTAGCTCTTAGGAAACTTTGCAGTATTTTGTTTTTTTATGTATTATTTTTTACATTATTAGCTCATAAAGTGTTTTGCATCATTACATACAGCCAGGGAAAACTATTGGATATCAGAGCGGCGGTAACTCACCAGCATTACGACCAGGAAAACGACTTTCCCGAAGCAGATCCTTTGTTTGCTCTCCCCAGGGCAACTGAACTGATTCCAGCAGCTGACCCAAAACATCGCAGACAGAGGAGAGGCACTCGGAGAGGCCTGCTGGTTCGACTTAGGAGGCGCACACACCACCCACCGCTTCCAACTATACTACTCGCTAATGTTCCGTTTTTGGTTAACAAGATCAACGAACTCCGGGCAAACATTTCTTTCCAGAGAGACATTAAGGCCTGTAATATACTTTGATTCACGTAACCATGGCTCTCTTGGGATATTCTGTCGAAATCGGTCCAGCCAGAGGGGTTCTCAGTTCAACGCGCAGACAGGAATAAATATCTCTCCGGGAAGCAGAAGGGCGGAGGTGTGTGTTTCATGATTAACGACTCATGGTGAAAATTAGTAACATACAGGAACTTGAGTCCTTTTGTTCACCCGACCTAGAATATCTCACAATCAAATGCCGACCGTATTATCTCCCAAGATTATTTTCTTTGGTTATAGTCATGGCCGTGTATATCCCCCCTCAAGCCGATACCACGACGGCCCTTAAAGAACTTCACTGGACTTTATGCAAACTAGAAACCACATCTCCTGAGGCTGCATGTATTGTATTTAACAAAGCAAATTTGAGGACTAGGCTGACGAAGTTCTATCACCATATCGACTGTTGTACTCGCGTTGCCAAAATCCTCGACCATTGCTATTTGAACTTCCGGGATTGTTATAAGGCCCTCCCCCGCCCTCCTTTCAGCAATCTGACCACGACTCCATTTTGCTCCTCCCTTCCTATAGGCAGAAACTCAAACAGGAAGTACCCATGCTAAGGACTATTCAACGCTGGTCTGACCAATCGGAATCCACGCTTCAAGATTGTTTTGGACTGGGCTATGTTCCGGGTAGCTTCCGAAAATAATTTAGAAGAATACACTGAAACGGTGACTGAGTTTATCAGGAAGTGTATAGGTGATGTTGTGCCCACTGTGACTATTAAAACCTACCCTAACCAGAAACCGTGGATAGATGGCAGCATTCGCGCCAATCTGAAAGCGCGAACCACCGCATTCAACCATGGCAAGGTGACTGGGAATATGGCAGAATACAGTGTAGCTACTCACTCTGCAAGGCAATTAAACTGGCAAAACATCAGTATAGAGACTAAGTGGAGTCGCAATTCAACGGCTCAGACACGAGACGTATGTGGCAGGGTCTACAGACAATCACGGACTACAAAAGAAAAACCGAACCAGTAACCGAGCCGCTACAATAAACTTAC